ACAAACCAATATTCATTATTAATACGAGAATAAAAATCGAATAATATCGTTAATAAATCTAAACTGGGATAAGTGAATTTTTTCAAGACCAACTTTTACCCAATTTTTGAAAATAGAAAGAAGATAATGATATTTTCAGAAATATCTTTCTTGCAGCTCCCGTCGTTTTCGATAAAAAATGTTTTTACGAAAGGCTCGATATGTTCCTTCGCTAGCAAGTTATTCGCTAAAAACTGGCTTTGAAAAAATACACTTATCCTAGTTTAACACTTCGCTATTAAATTAAGCATTTCGATAATTTAAGTCATTAATCATTTGGAGGAATATTTTCGAGGGAATTTTTGGACTTACATCAGCTTTATAGTGCTCTTGTAACTTCGGAAGTGGGAAAAACACTTTCAACAGTCTTATGTCGGCCATTGGAACTATGAACCATTTATGCCCATAATGATTCTTATTGAATGGATGATGTAGGCACTCCAGGGCCTTGACTCTTTTATTCTGCACTTTAGCGAACATCTTCACTATCATCTTCTCTAGATCGTTTAAACTCTCTATTGAAAAATCATTGAGATTAATGATTTCGATTAGTCGATTGATTCAACGAAAGGGAAAACATATTTCTGCGTTAGATGTTGTCAGAATCTGTTGTATAGAGTTAATGGAGAACTATGAAAAAAAATATTCCAAAAAAGTTTTCTATAATTTTAGAGATATTTGCGAAAAATCGATTGATGATTTGAGTTAACTTACTTTATTTTTCAGTCATCATATTTCACAATCATTGAACCCAAATGGACGTTTTCAAAATTATTTTTTTTTGCAAACTAACGATGAAATTGGGAAAAAATATAAAGTTTCTGTGTTTTGCCGGAAAATTCGAAAAACCGCATGAGAAGCCATTAAATAGTGATGAAATGAAAAAACAAAACGGGACACAGGATAAAATGGAATGCCGGTAAAATGGAATGAATCAAGCGGTTCAAGGGGAGTTTGGCAGGAAGAGGGGGCAGAAATTAAAAAAAAAACAGTTATATTTACCTTTTCCGAGAACACTAAGAGCCATGATATTAGCCGAATACCAGGTTCCATGAAACTTGAGTAATTCATCTCGAACATTGATTCCATTTTTTTTCGGATTCACATAAAGAGTTTCTCTATTACCAGTTCCAAATTTGGAAAAAGGATGTTGAGGATCAGCTGAGGATCTGTCCAATTGATTAATCTTCTCGAGATAGTCAGCGCTATTGTGCTCGGAGTTAATGGCATCAATCACGGGAGCTATCATGGACTCTGCTAACAACGGCTTATGAAAACTTTGCGAAAATTTATCGAGAGCCTCTTCTAATTTGTTTGACACAATATCGAAGTAAAACATTGTACTATCAAACAGTGTAGTGGTATTTACATATCCTCCATGCTCAGTTACATAAGAGTAGAATTCATTGTCATTTGGATACTTCTCGGTATCGAGCATGAGCATGTGCATACACAAATGAGCAAGACCTGGTAATTCTGCCGGATCGCTCATGAATCCAACATTAACATCCAAACACGCTGCACTTCTATCGGTGGTTGAATCACTTATCAACAGAACTTTCATGTCATTATTGAGGATTAATCCTCTGTAGACACAATTATCATTTGGTGATTTTTTAATATTCTCAAATCTCATCTTCACTCCATT